TTTATATATATATATATATATATATATATATATATATATATATAGCATTGCTACTCTGTTTTGGTTATGTGGAAGAGTTTGGGTCTTAAAAAAATTAAATTATATAATCCGGTTAAAGTAGAATTATATAATTTAAGCTCATCCATAAAATTTATTTTAACCAACACTCATGTGTAAATATTACAATTAGAATTGTGATCTAAGATATGTTTGATACTCTCTTTATATATATATATATATATATATAGCATTGCTACTCTGTTTTGGTTATGTGGAAGAGTTTGGGTCTTAAAAAAATTAAATTATATAATCCGGTTAAAGTAGAATTATATAATTTAAGCTCATCCATAAAATTTATTTTAACCAACACTCATGTGTAAATATTACAATTAGAATTGTGATCTAAGATATGTTTGATACTCTCTTTGATTTTTATACAAACAATATCAATTTAAATAATAATAGTATAATTAAACTTTGTGATCTGAAAAAAAGATCAAATATACAATATAAGTAATTGCTTTAAAATAATCTAATCTAATCTAATACGAAGAAAATAGATGAATATGTGAAAATTGTTGCAATTTCATAATTTATAATTTTTATACAATCTAATCTAATCTAACAAGAAGAAAATAACAAAGGCACATATTTGTTGAAGGAGATGAAAGTTCTATGAAAATTATTGTAATTTCTAATCTAAAAAAATCAAACATAAAATATAATTACTTGGGTTAAAATAATCTAATCTAATCTAATAAGAAAAAAAATTGATGAAAGTGTTATGAAAATTATTGATATTTCTTGATATGAAAAAAATCAAATATACAATATAATTAATTGCTTTAAAATAATCTACTCCAATCTAATAAGAAGAAAATAGCAAAGGCAAATATATGTAGAAAAAGTTAAAAGTGCTACGGAAATTGTTGTAGTTTCTTAACTTATAAACATTGGTATGTGATGTTGCATGTTAGAGAATAACAATTGTAAATAGAGTTTTATTTAAATAATAATGGTATAATTAAACTTTGAAACTAATTATGC